CCACTCTTTTCAGCTGACCTGAAATATAACCGCCAAATGAACGAATCGTCTTCATTGAGGAACTGGATTTATTTATTCCAGTTGTAAGGTCTGTAACACAATAAACTCTCGCAGGTGGTAGTGGAGGGACCTCCTATCCTACCTGTAAGTAAATGGCACAGACATATTCAATCAGAAATTAATCAAATCCACACTGTATCATCGAAATTGTATATATGTCAAAAACTGTAGTAACAATAAAATAAAATTATTTTTCATTTTTACCAAATGAAAATGCATTGTCTTGAATACGAATTAAAACATATTTTCTGAATAAATACCTACGACTGCGTCGAGGAGAGATACAGATGTATCAAGAAAATAAATATTCCGTCACGAGATGGACATCTTTCTCTCAGACAAAGGTATTGTTAATGTAGTAGAGTCGCCATTGAATTATTGGAATATTGTTGGGGATGCCGTCAAATTACTGGGCTGTTGTTTAAAAAATACTCTTTGTTATATGGTCGAGCTTTCAAGAATGTTTATTCCCCTCATCAAGACATCTACAAGAAATTTAAAAACATTGCAGCAAAATTGTAAAACAAATAGGTAAAAAATAGACGTACTAACTTGAGGTTATAGTAGAAAGTCAGATGTGGTAATGAGAAAAACAAAGTTAGTTTTTCATCATGTAGAAAAGTGTCACACATTCAATTTTAGAGTTTCAGAGAAAGAGTAAAAAAAACTTATTTCATTTAAACATTTAAAATTTCAAAATTATTTCACTGGCCATGCTTGGCACTTACTCGGTGGCAATTTAATAATTGACATTATGAAAAGACAATAGAAGTTTGATGATTTGACAGTAAAACAATAAAACAGGATTACCAAAAGGCACACCAACACCATGGCTGACCCAAACAAAATCAAAAGTATCTGAATTTGGGTACAGTGCTACCAAACATTTACAAATGAAGTGAATGGTTTTTTTGACAGACTCAGCACTGCGCCCAAAACCAAACACTATTTGTTGCTTGGGGAACCTGGAGGAATTAGTTCCAATTTCAAGATGTAATTAATTATGAATATTGTTGAGGTTGTTGAGCTCAGTCTTTTTGTTCATGTTATTGGTATTTCTTTTGATAAAGAACTTTTCTTTAAACAACCGTTTTTGTAAATTGCTTTCTGTACACAAAACTTTAACTTCGGTGTATTTCATTGTGTGTTTGGTGTTGATGACATGCTCTGCAAGTGCACAGGTGGTTTTGTTTGTATTACAATCACTTTTATGTGACGATATGCGTCCAGATAAAATTCTAGATGTTTGTCCAATATATGTCTTGTCACACGTATGACAAGGAATTTCATATACTTCATTTGACTTTTCTGAAATTCTCAACGCAGTTTCAATTTTGGAAAAAAAATATTAGTAGTCGTAACGATGCATTGAGCAAATTTAATATGTTCACTCTTGAAAACATTCAAAAGTTTAGGTGTTGCAGACTGAAAATATGATAGTGTTTCAAAAAATAATGAATTCGGAGGTATCTCTCCACTACTTGGAATATTCAAATTATTATTTTGATTAGTATTATTTATGGAATTATTTAAATTGTTTGGAAAAGTATTCATGACTGTGGAAGAGGAGCTAAAAAGTAGTTTATTCAAAGGTTTGCAAGGATATGAATTTTCAAGAAGAATACTTTTTAATTCTTCAATACATTCGTCTTTAAAAAGTGGGTGTGTTAGATTGATCACCCTGTTCTTCATGGTTAGGACTAAGCTTATTTTCATCTTCGTTAGACGGTAAGAATGGTAGTTAAGCAACGTGTTACTAGCACATGGTTTCCTATACCATTTTGTACGTAGGACATTATCTGGATCTCTGCATACATGCATATCTAGGAATGGTAAACTGATGTTACCTTTTTCCTCAGATGTGAATTGTAAATGTTTGTTGAAACTGTTAAAAGTTGTTAACGCTTCCTCAGTTCTCCCACGACGAACAGATAGCATCAAATCGTCCACGTATCGTTTAATGAAAGGAATATTAAAAGGGATTCTATCTTTCACATTCATAATTTGGTCATCTAAAACAAAATTTACTAAAATGGGGGAAATGGTTGAACCCATTGGGGTACCAAAAATTTGTTTAAAAAAATGTCCTGAAAAACTAGGAAGTTGGAGTCAAAAATATACTCTGAAATAAATTTAAAATTTGGAAAATCAAGCATACATTGTAGAGAGATAACAGCCCAGTGGTTTTTTAAGCTATTAACTATTACATTTAAAGGCAAGTTCGTAAAAAGTGAAACTACATCAAAACTCACTAATACATAGTCTTCAGGAAGTTTATAATCATTAATGAAATTGCTAAAGGAAATAGAATCTTTCACATAAAACAAGTTGTCAGTATTATATGACATAAACAAAATATTGGGCAACCATTTAGCCAGTTTACTGTTTGGTGAATTTTTTGATGACACAATGGGTCTCATCGAAAGTTCAGGTTTGTGTACTTTAGGCAAAGAGTAAAATCAAGGAGACACTGTATTATAGATGGTCAGCTTTTTGACCATTTTATCCTTCTTAATCTTAGAAAGTATTTTGTTTGCTTTTTGTTGTAAGGTGCTGACTGGATAATGATTTAACTTTTTGTAATATTTAGTATCACTGAGTAATTCAAAACTATCAATAGATTATTCCTCTTCTAACATTATAACTGTCACATTGCCTTTATTACTTCTTACTACATAGCTCTCAGGATGTTGTTTTTAAAAGGATATTTGTGGAATGAGCACGATAGATATCCTGAACATTTTTATCAATATTGAAAAGTATATTTTCTAAATCAGGAAGAAGGTTAGAAAGTTGAATTTCTTTAGTTAAGGGACAAATTCCAAATTTTGGACCAAGAGCCAGAAAACTTTTAATATCCGAAACTATTTCAACGTTTGTGAGGTTCTTCATCAATTTTTCTTGTATTTTATTTGGAAGAAATTCATTATTTTGAAAATTATCAAATTTGTTTCTGTTTTTTTGTTTCATTTTATGAAAAAGTGCATTATATTTAATAGTAAGCCTTCGTTCATATTCTTCAAAAGTGGTGGCCGACAACGTGGCCGATAATATTCGCTTAAGGTCATTTAAACCTCTTTCTAAATTTATGAGTTCACTGAAGGTGATTTTAATTTCTAAGTTTAAAATATTTTTCCTCATATATATAATATAAATGCGAATGTAAGTTTGTTTGTTACGGTTTCATGCGAGAACTACTCAACCGATCATAATGAAATTTTCTACACATGTTCTTGGAGGTATTAGAAGTAACATATTGGAAAAAACATATATTCTTTATGTAAGATAAAAAAATTTATTATCATTTCTATTGTACTGACACTTATTTAATGGCATAAATGTGAGCGAAGCTGCAGATGAAAGCTTGTTATCCATAAAGTAACTTGATTGCCATCTAATATAATTCAATGTCCATCGCGTTATTAGCCAGGAAAGAAGTTGTTTTCCGCCAGGAAATAACCAAATTCTAGAGTGCACGAACGTCGCAGAGCTGAATGTTTTGAATTTTATTTCGAAACATTAATTTTCGAAATACCTTTAATTTCAATGTTCTCAAGAACATTGCCTTCAGGTAATTATATTCCAACTACGATGTCAGGTATTCACCAAGTAATAAATATTTCTGGAATAATAGTGAAAGAATCTCATAATCATTAGGGCCCTAGTTCAGTAACGCTAAACCTTGAGGAGATAGGATGTGCGTTATAAAACTGTTTTTTTTAGTCGAGTAAACATATACTGCAGATGTGTTGTTTTCATGACCAGTATCTACAGATTCGTACAAATTTGATTATTCCGCCAACCAACAAGCAGAACAACGAAGCGAACAGGACAGCGATCGACTTTTTTGATTTCGACAATCCGAACAACAAATAGAATATACGTGATGTTTCCACAAATTTTTGGTAAATTTCCTGACAGGCATCTTGATTTTTAGTTTGATTGAAGTTTGTGGATGATCTGGTCTCCAAAACAACTCTTTTTTGACAAATATCAAAACATTCCTCCATTGCCCACTTCATCTTCATCCAAAATCTTCAGATATAGCAAATCAAATTCCAGAATTCAAAATAAACTTATTCGCAAACCTGTTCGCCAACCCGTTCAAATAAGTGTTTTGATCCCCGTTTGGCGAACCGGATACGGTAACCATCTAACCTTGACTGCTGAACTCGAAAACCGCAAATAATCTGACACAGAAGGATTTGTGACAAGCTACTGACCTGAAAATGTCCTAGATTGCTATAGAATATTACTTGAGTATTTCATAATCATGATAATGATTATAATTACGATGAGAAAAATAATAAAAAATAATTATAAATCATACTGTCTCATTGCGTGTGCTTGGGGCACAGTGTCTTCAGATCCAGTGATCACCTTTTCCACGGTCATAATAATGCTGGCGCACCCTCCCAAACGTATCGCCAACAGAGCTCGACCAACACAATCTTGGGAAAAAAATAATAATAAGGCATTTGTTTTATATAGAAGATTTTGTACGTCATTTCTCAGAAGAAAATGATCTCCATTAGTCCTTGAGAGTAGTGGAAGAGTTCACGTATGCTGTCAGTATATCGAGATAGATAAATGTGCAATTATCCATCTCAAAAAATGACAATGCACAAGAGATAGGACAGTGAAAAACTATCTCCGCGGCAAGTATCAGCACAAATAACGACAGGTCTGTAAAGAACAAAGTTGATGCTATGAATATGCTTGCCGTGTCAATCTTACTTCACTCGTTTGGAATAGAGAAATAGGTGAAGACTCGAAAAATTATGCATTATCCCATAAACATAAGCAATCCAAATCATCCATTCCACGGTTATACTTCATCCGACAACAGTGGTGGCCGTGAACTTTTGCGTTTGGAGTGTCAACATCACAAAATAGTACTGAATGAAACCTGTAAAGGAATTTGGACCTCCTATGCATAGTGCGTGACCATAAGAGAGCAGGAATTGGAGCATTTTTGTAGGACAGCAGCCCGAGCGACTGCCGAACTTAGTTTAGTTTTTGATACTGAATGGGGTGATCACAACTCAGTCATCAATACGGAAGCCGTTCATCGTAAAATCCTCATGAAATCTGCAGACACCATTTTACTTCTGCAGCTACACATGAAGCCTCTGCACGGAGTCTTCATCAACAACATTGAAGGCCATGGCAGTTCGAGTGAGCTGAAGTCAGAAACTGAAAATTTGATCATGGCTCGAAAGGCCATTCTGACGGTAGGGTTGTTCCAAATATTGAGTTGATAGCTCCAATCGCGCAATCCATGTGGTCATTTTTGCTGTGACGCTGCTGTGTCGTTTTTAAATACTTTTTTCATAGGAAAGTTTTGGAACTCCAAATAACAGCTGATGTTATATGTTCATGCAAACGTGGTTAATAAATGTTTTCTGGTCCACAACAATATTATCAATTTCCTCATCTTGTCGTTAATGAACCCATCTTGTTCCAGATTCCTCAGCGTGAAAAAATGGCTCCTACGAAAGAAACACCAGATAGAATTAGCCCGGAAACGCGGCTGGAAGGGGTACTGGGTCTGTCTGAAGGGAACGACGCTCCTCTTCTACCCTTGCGATTCCCGGGAAGGACGTTCAGTAGAGGCGGCCCCGAAGCACCTCATCATTGTCGACGGGGCCATAATGCAACCTATTCCCGAACATCCCAAAAGGGATTACATTTTCTGTTTGAGCACGGCCTTCGGTGACGCCTACTTATTCCAGGCGCCCTGCCAGGTAAGCACAAAAAAAACGATCTCATTCTCTGAAAGTTTTGTAATCGTTTGCACTATCGGAAAATGAGGTATGTAATTGAATATTTATATAGAGATTCACGTTGATGTTCCTAGAGCTCAGTTGCCCGATATACAGTACGAAAAAAGAATGTCTCTCCTACCTCTAACTTTTGAACGGAACTATTTATCAATGTCGGACATTTACCAAAAAGATTTTCGTACAAATGCGCCATCAATTTTTTTCTGTACTTCTGTACAGAAAACAATTGATTGTTTGTTCCCCCTCGTTCAGCAGGTCTCTCAATTTTCTATACAACACTAGTTAATTTTTCAAACCTGTCGTTTTCGGGTGATAGGCACTTTCATGTTTTTTTTTCAAGAATCTACGAACAAATGATAAACCAATTGGTTAAGGCTTTCGCGTCCAAGATTTTCAGTATCACTATCTTCAGTCAATTCATTCAGGTTTGAAGGCCGTCATAGTTTGGTGAATCATAATGAATCATCAAAATGAATAAACCTGTGAAGAAGCCAGCCACTCGTGTTGGCGAAACGTTAGGATACAGTTTCAAACTACGATGGCATTCGAACTCGAATGAAGATGGTAACACTGGAGTTGATGAATATATTAAAAAAAAAAATTCACAACCCAATCCCAAGAGATATTACATTTTTCGTTTGAACACTGCCTTCTGTGACACCTACTTCTTTCAGGCACCGAGTAGGTAGGCACAAAATATGAAAAAAGACAGCATTCTTATTGCTCGTATTCTTTTGCGCTATCAGAAAATTAGCTATATCACTGAATATTTATATGATGAAGTAATTGCATAGGTTCATTAGCCCTGCCATTGAATATATGAAATAAGCAATTTTTGGAAGAATTTTTATAGTATTCAACATCAGAAGAAGAAGAAAGAAAATAATTAATTTCATTTGCTCAGGTGAATTTTTATTTTTTACATGCACGGCTATTATCAATAGTTTATCCATGTACCAAAAACGTTATGAACAATATCAAGTTTTTTAGGCATTTAATAAATGAACTGAACTAAATTAGGAAATTTTCACCATTTTGGATGATTTTCGACATATGCAACACTCACAAAAATGTATCGAATTGGATTCAATGAAATACAAGTACCTATATAAAATAATAGAGCGAAAGTGATATGTACAACGGAACTACGTATAGTGCATCGAATTTGTTTCCTGGTTTATTGACATATGTAAGAAAATATTTTCATCATCACTTACTGATGAATATATTTGCACCTGTTTTGCAAAAGCAAAAAGTGATTTTCAAGAATGTTTATAGGTGGTATACCTAGGTTACGCGTATCCATTTCTAACAAATGACCCTTAATGTAACCGCAAACATCTTATGTTGAGGTTACGAAGAACTGTTGCATGTCATTCGCAACCTCGTTGATACCTGTAACTGTAACAATCCTAATCACCATTTTTAGATTAATATCCGGCATTCTTTGTCATTTCGTAACCTTTTTCTGTTACGTTACGAAACAATTGACTTGGCCAAAACTTCAAAAATGCTTACGGAGGCATATCGTGTAATATGCGTAATATGAGCCAAACATGTTCGGTGTTACATTGCTGGGTATTAGCTCATGAGCTAATGAATTCGCCGCTTTACGTTCCGCACGGCGACAATTCGGAACGAATATCTCAGTATCGCGGATATTTTCCAATTTTGTTGGATTGTAACGTAACCTGGATTACATGACAGAATAATTGACACGATCAAAACATTTTCAAGAGACATTGGCATGAACAATAATCTGAGGTTTCAATGAAAAAGGTGACTCAATTTCGATTCAGTTAGACCAACCCAGGACATTGGAACTTCAAGACTGGTCTAGTGCCGTGAAGAATTGAAAGAACTGGCAAACTTAGAGGTAAGGAAAAACAAGAAAACTAATGAGGTGTACTAGATTATTCAAGAATTGGTCAATAAGAAACATTCAGAATATGCATGGGAATATGAGAAAATGAACTTTCATGAAAGTGTAATGATCAAGGAAGTGAAGAAACATCGCTTGAAGTACGGAAAGTCTACATAAAAACTTCTATGATAAGTTTGTAGCAAATTGAAATTACTCAGAAGCTATATACGAAAATATTTTACAATTTATTACGGAAGCGTCATTTGACGTTGAAATATGAACTGAATTTCAACTGATATTCACTCTTCTTGAAAATGATTGAAAATGTTTTATGATGAATTTCACTACTTCGGAATTCCATTGCCTGATATTATATTAAATGATTTGAAATCCCTGAAAGAACTAATAAAAAAAAAGAATTAAAAGTGAGTATAACAAGAAAGTTGAAAATAACAATTATATAAACAGTTTGTGTGTGAAAGTTGCTTCTTTGCATGATCTACACATCCATGTATAGAGTTACTTCTTTTCAAATTGATTACTTCCTTCCTTTCTTTGGAAGATTTCCACATTTTTTTAAAATATAAAAAAAGTTAAGAGATTCCAAGTCAAGTTACTTCCCGAGGTTTCAATTGTCAGTATCCACAATCGTCTTTGGGTGATGACTGGACTAATTCCTCCAAAATGTGGGTCATTCGAGTACTTTCACTTATCTCCGCTTTCCTTTTTCCGCTTCACCTGTTTAGTGGTAGATGACTGTTTGGCGGGAGTTGACCATTTTTCGCTTGATTATGGGTTTCCATGTGTTGCATATCTCAACGCTAGCTTGGCTGAATACATTGTTGGACAACATGTATGCGGCTTTTTTGAATTTCCTCCAAAATCAATGTTTCTCCCTGTGTATGATCTCAGTTGATGGGTCCAAACATGCTCAGCTAATCGTGATTTTCTGGTTTTCCCGCGCTGTGTGTGTTTCTTGTGCTCGGTAATGCGTACATTCAATGGCCTCTTTGTTTCACCGATGTAGAATATTCCGCACTCATAGGGTATCTGGTACATGTAATTCTTGGAATCCCAGATCTGAAGCAGGTTCTAATGATATACTTGTTCCCAATTCTTATTATCATTTTTGACAATCCTCTGGTGTAGGGAAGTACAAGTACTGGTTGTGGCGGTTTCTCTTCCTTGTGAGGTTTTTGCTAGCCAAAGTCTGTTCCACCATTACCTACGAGAAGCCCCGAGTCTGGTTGAGATACGGTGACGACACCTTCATAATATGAAACCATGGGAATGCAGAACAAATTTTCAATTTTCATTGCTTTTTAATAATTTTTAATTTTCAGCTCGTGTTAATAGTTCAGTTTCTGATTGTTGCTTGTATTTTATTTCATTGTAATTTCAGTTTCTTTTGCTCAATGAAATTGTTATTTTTCAGCTAATGTTTTTATTTGTCATAGATTCTTTTAGGGTTTTCAAATCAATTCATATCATATTAGAAAATGAAAGTCCAAACTAATGAAATGCACCACGATACATTGTCAACCACTTTCAAAAAAATGATTGCTTGGCCGTTTTCTTGAGAAGTTACGTTGGTAGCTCATTCTATTGGTTCGACTGTCACATTCAATTTAGAATTTTTGTGTACAACTAGGATCTATTTCAACTTTGATATTCAACTACGGCCCGTTGTTTCAAGTATAATCTATAATAGCATCAATCGGGCAGATACAGCTCTATGCACTGGTGATCCAACACCAGTTAGCGCTGCTTCGATACGTCAAAGTCGTCAAGGTCGATTCCATAGATACCGTCTCCGTAGATGTAGATGTTATCACCTTCAGATAGAGCTCTACTTCGAAGGCACCTCTTTCTTAAGCGAACGTGAGGCTTTGAGTATCAGAAGACAAACTATAAATTGACCACCAGACCTGAATCCTGAAGAATATAACACACATTTAACATAAGGTCTATTCAAATTAGTGAATAATGAGCAGTACCAAAAGATAGAAATACAAATGCACGGAGCCACCAACAGGAGCCAACCGCACATTTGTGGTTTCAGTTGATAGATCTCGTGTTCACAAGAAAACTATCAAAATCACCACGGAGGCAGCTATAGCTACCTGCGTGACATCCGGGTCCAGGAAATTATACAAATATGAAAGTTATTGAGTGTCTTGATATAGAAACAGAAGTTAATA